CGTCACGTTCCCTCATCCACCTCCGACCGCCGCCGAGATCTCTGCCCTTTCCCCTGACCCGCCACCCTCAGGCAGGCGACACTCTAACTCCCCCTCTCCTACTGCCCTTCCCGACGGGTAGCCCCACCAACACTGACAGAGTCGTCTGCCTCATGTCGTCGTCGTCATTCAGTTCGCCGCCGTCGTCGTCGCCATGCCAGTTCATCTGTCGACCGTCACCACTTGATAGCCTAGTAAATTATTTTTCTGTTAATCTCATTTTATTAGTTAATTGCATGAATATTCCATCTCTAAACTCTTATCATATATTCACTGCTTAGATTATATTTGTGAGTTGAGAGTAATTGACCATGTGACTGTTTAAATTTGATATTGATTGTAGAACTTGAGCATGATAATGAATATTGCAGCTAAATTGATCAAGATTGGAATTAATCATAACTATTGATGCAATTTTCGTTAAATCCATTTGTCACATTAGTTGTTTTGAATTTAATTTCCTGCCAAAAATCATGGAATTTGGTGAAATGATGCAGTATTCGATTTAAATCGCTGATTCTGATAGACCTCCTGTCCCGTTTCACATCATTAGTACTGTGAGGCGTGAGCTTATATATTAGAACCAAAATTAAGGTTCTAATGTGTTAAGAGGAGCTATGTTTACTAGGAATTTGGCTCCACTGCAAGAACTTGCCCAACTTATAGAGCTGATTTGAGGACTAATAACTAGGTAATAGGAAGTTTTGGTCAATTCCTTTTTAAGAGCAATCTCATTCGCTAGTGTTTCATAGCCAATTTCACAACTAGGAAACATACTTTTTAGGTACAATTACAAAACTTTAGGCAAATAGGTCTTTGCAACCTGTATTGTTTTATCCTTAATCAGTGAAGAATGTTTAGCAGCGTCACAACACCAATATAACACGATATTTGAGCTCAATTGTGGCTTGGTCTAATCTGATTCCTTTATGGTTGCTAAAGAAAATAAAATCAGAATAAATGAAAAATAATAATGCAAGCAAGCAATGAGAAAACACTTCTTTCAATGGTAACCAACATCAAAGAAGTAAAGAACTAATTTACGAGTTGCGAGTTGCAAGTTACAACAAATAGAAGAAACTCTACTCTTCTAAAGTGGTCATCCATTTCCCTGCATTAAAACCGTATTTCGGAGTTTTATGCTAAATCATAAGCTTTCGTTCTACATAACAAGCAATCAATATTTTTTCTATCTTTTTTTTCCAAACTTTCTCACTGGGATATGTCAACAACTTAATGTCCGATAGTTTCTCAAAAGCAATGATTTCACTCATAAGAACCATATTTGTATTAATTGATAGATGAGAGCCAATCAATAAAGTTATAGTTAAGCTTTGAAAAAACTAGTTCAGAAACATGAGCAAAGAGTGTATATAACCAAACAATAATGTAGTTAAAACATTTTTAAAATGCAAGAAAGGGGATATAAATATTTGACAACCTTTGCTCAAAACATGTTATTAGTAATTATATTACGTAGGTTAAGCCGCATGAGTTGAAGGGTTCAAACACTTACTTAATTCAGGAACCCAAAAACTAAACAACAAAATAAATAAATAAATAAAACAATGTAATGTACTTACTCTTTGACACAAAGTCATGCCATGAATATCTTAAGCCCGTGAAGTCAACAATGGTTTGTGTTGGTGATACCAGTGGTTGGATCTACATAAAAAAGACAGCAAAGCACATAAATAATACACAAGTAAAACAGTTTCTAAATGCTAATTGAACCCAACAAGTTACCAGGAGAAAGTATGCAAATGAGAACTTTGCCCCAAATATAACGAGCCAAAAGAGCATATACCTAAAATTGCAAAACATTATCAAAATAACTTAATTAAATTATCGAATACACCACACAAATTCAGAATCATATCAAACAAGCTAAAAAAAGTAAAAAGCAACAGCAGTAATCAGATCAGCCATGAAAGTCTATATTTAAAAGACGAGAAAGAAGAAGTTGAGCAGCCTTAATTGGAATTATAAATAAGGAAATTATTAGTATGTTTTACAATTTATCTTATATCACAATTCATCGATGACAGACTCAAAGGTCAAGCCAACAACAAAGCAGCAAGAAAAACAGATACCGCTTTTAATTAACTATAGGATTAATACATCTTCAACTATGATAGATTTTAACACTGCAAAATCAGTACGTAACTACTATGTCAAAGATTATGTGCAATCAAATTAAAAGCAGGATTCAAAAATAACCTATGGGGAGAAATGATGCCAAATTACAAGGACAAGGCATGTTGGCATCAAATCATTATCCAAAAAATAAGAAAAAGAAGCATAGTTCTGGTCAATCAAAGAAGAACAAGAAAACAACAATGAGAAATTTCAAATTCATAAAAGAACTCTACAGCTACACTTAGCAGTCTTAAGGCAAAAGTTTTCCATGAAATATTAAGGTTGCTGCTGATGTGCAGATAATCAAACTTCCAAGCTAGAGAGAAAAGTGCACTTTTAAGCAATTGCTTATTCATAGAACAAACAGATAAGCATGTGAAACCACTGACATAGTATATCTGATCCATCATAAGAGGTTCCAATGCAGCTGTACAATATGAGGGGGAGGGGGAGGGGAGAGGATGAAGATGTTTACTTAATGTAGTCTATGGTCCTCTCGTACATTCCACGTCCAACATAGTAATGTTCCTTCACAGAAGAAAAATATACAAATAAAATCATGGTGATTTAATGTCAGAGAGAGAATCTATTTCATTTCAGATATCTGGACTGTAATTCAAAAGGCTAAAGAGTACAAAAACATCAGGTAAAAGACCTGGTGCATCCACTTAATGAGCCGCACAATAGACCATCGATCACAAGGCTCTGTCATACGATGGCAGAATGGAATTCGCATGAGCACACTAATAAAGAGCTGAATGACAGCATATATTCCAATTACAAAGACATATATCTTGAACACAGCAGAATCAGTTCCGTCCTGCATAGCTTTACTGAAGTCCAAAAACTTGCATTTGTTAGTACCTTAAAAGAACTAAGAATGAAACATGCAAAATTAACCCTAAAATTTGGTGATGTACACAGAAAAAGTCAAACTCACATATACAGGTAGCATATGACCAGGGAAGCGACAGAAAACCAAATGAAACGACAAAAAATCCGTGTAACAGCTGAACGACGAGATGTAGAATATGCACCATACATCATCATAACATCCAGCACACCTAAGTGACATATTAAGCAAACAAAGAAAAATGCCGACAGTCATCAGCACTTTGAATGGGCTTCAAAATACATCACATATGATCTAATACTATCCTAGATTTAATCAAATGAAAAAGTTACGCTACACTATTTTGAGCTGATAGATCAAAGCCAACTTACTTTCAAGAAATTTCATAACGACATACGTAGGCCCAAGACTGAGAACATCTTTTGCGGTCTTCGAATTTGCACGTCCATCGTTAAAGGCAATGATAGTTAATCCCTAAAGAAAGTCAAGAAAGAAAAGAAGCGGGTTAACCGAAAAGTGAACCAAATGTACAGGCTAGAAAAAGCAAAATACATTACCTCTGTAAATGTATCATATTCTTCAAATAAAGACAAAGAGTGTAACCAACAGTACTAAATGGATTGCAAAGCGCAATCAGCCTTAAGTTCTGCAGAAACATCGATCTAGGCTACAAATAAAATAAGTAAACATTGTTTATAAATGCAACATGTCTCCTCGCCACAGGAAATACTCCATAGACAGCCAGTTGCAAAAACAAAAGGTTTTGGTTGCTCGGCATATTCTCAAAAATTAGAAGAGGCAACACATAAGTGATCTAAAGCAAGATATTACCCCAAAAAAGGAACCACGATACAAGATAGTATCCAATCCATGATTAAAATGTTTATGCAGTCACAAATCCCTGCCAAGGCACCAAAACTATGAAGTGATGATGGGGGTTGAGGGATATAGTTTTCTATTCTAATATGCCCCCAGCAGATTGAGCGCACTTTTTTAAGGGCCGAAACTTGGACTCATGCAGCAGCATCGTTTTTTCTAATCTGCTTTAAGTTGTGGCCAGTGGGACTTGAATTTGGATAGTTCTGATACCTATCACATGTTAAAATTCCCTTCAGTGCATCAAAACTCTGAAGACGTGATGAGGTTGAGGGATTAAATTTTACATTCTAACACATAAAAACAGAACATATGCAGTTACAGGTTAAAAATAGCAAAGATCAAAAGAAAGAGTATCAGGGTAACAGATTAATATATTATTTTGAGATAATGGATTGGAGAAGTTCTGATTTTGTTAGAACTCAGGGGAACATTTGTATGATGGCTTCATCTCATACAGGATCAGTTTCTAAGTTGGGAATTGCTGAATAAAGACAGAGAGGTTACATTGGACACTATCACTGTTACACTGTAAATTTAAACTGAGTCTCCTTTTGTAATGAAGAAACAGTGAGGCTCTCAAAATTTGTTTTATGACAAAAGAAATAAACTGAGGATTCTGTCATGCCATCTACAAGTCAATTAAACATTTGATTGTAATTAAGCACGTATACTTCTGCACTAAAGAAAAGTATGTATGTATTCAGTAAACAAACCTGGAACATCATAAAGAGGAAAATCCACAGACGATGAAAACTATGATAAAGATGAAGGAAAGTTCGATGTTCCACAAATGATGTCTTCCCACAACGTTTATGTCTTCCAACCGATGGTAACCCCTGTGCAGTAAGAAGCACAACTCAAATAAACCACCATAACACTTACAAGAAAATAATCATGGTAGACATCTTAGATTTTTTTTTTTTTTTTTTTTTTTGGAG